TAAAAAAAATAAAGAGAAGGTGGACACTTAATACCCAAATTTTAAAGGAAAGAGAATTTATTGCAAGGATTAAAAAAGAAATGGAATTATTTTTCAAAGAGAACACTAAACAACAAACATCACTACAAATCATAGGGACACCGCCAAAGCATATCTCAGGGGTATAGCAATAGCATATACAACTAGGAAAAATAAGGTGAAAAGGCAGACACAAAATATACTTCTAGAAAAGATTAAAAAATTAGAATCCAAATTACAGCGGGAGCCACAAGATGAAATGATTAAAGAGGAAATGACTCTTGCCAAACATAAATTAAATATAATAGAACAAGAGGAACTGGCAAGAGAACTGAAAATAACTAAACAAAATTTTTTGGAACATGCAAAAAACCTGGGAGGTGGCTTATCTATAAATTAAAAAAAGAAAAGGAAAAAAGATTTATCCAGGAACTACAGGACAGAAATGGAGAGGTGCATTATAAAATAGAGTAAAAGAAAAAAAATAATTCAGAAATACTTTGAATCTCTATATAAAAAAGAGGAAACAGAGGAGGAGAATATAAAGCAATATTTAAAGGCCAATGGTCTTCCGGAATTAAAAGAAGGACAAAGAGAATTATTGAATAAAAAAATAACAGCAATGGAACTAAGAATGGCAGTACAAAAGCAAAAAAATAACAAAGCTCCGGGGCCAGATGGTCTACCTGGGGAAGTGTTTAAGGCTTTATATGAAGATTTGGAAATGATACTATTAGAGATATATAATGATGTATTGGAGAAAGCTAAATTACCAGACTCATGGACAGAAGCCAATACAACTCTTGTTCCAAAAGAAGATACAGATCCTAAACAAATAAAAAATTATAGACCAATCTTGCTGTTGAATTCGGACTACAAAATTTTTACTACAATAATGTTGGAACAACTAAAAATAATACTAAATCAAATACTATATTCAGATCAAAACAGTTTTCTACCCAATAGACAAATTAGGAACAATACGAGAATTGTACTAAATGTTTTGGAATATTAAGCACACCCCGAAAAATAGGCTGCATTAGTATTTTTAGATGCTCAGAAGGCATTCGACAACCTTAATTGGCAATTTATGTTCCAACAGTTAGAAAATATGAAATTTGGTGAGAAGTTTGAACAAATGATAAAGTTAATATACAGAATACAAAAAGCCGGAGTAATAATTAATGGGGAAACTACAGAGAAGATTGAAATTAACAAAGGAGTAAGACAGGGATGCCCAATATCACCTCTACTTTTTATTCTAACGTTAGAAGTGCTACTAACTCAAATCAGAAACAACAAAGAGATAAAAAGATTAAGGATTAAAACAGAAGAATACAAGATACAGGCATTTGCAGATGATTTGGTGTTTTTTTTATAGAGGAACCATTGGAAAGAAGTAATATTTTACTGAATGAAATAGAAAAATATGGAATGGTGGCGGGATTAAAAAACAACAAAGAAATGAATAAAATATTAGTTAAAAATTTAACTGAAAAACAAAAAAGGGGATTAGAAGAAAATTTGGGGTTGCAAACTGCAAAAAAGATTAAATATTTAGGAATTTGGTTCACCACAAGATGTTCCTCAATAAAAGAAGATAATTATAAAAAATGATATTACAAGTACAAAAAGATTTAGAGATTTGGAGGAAATTACAATTATCATTGCTAGAAAGGATTTCGGCGATTAAAATGAATGTTCTACCAAAATTGTTATACCTCTTTCAAACAGCTCCAATAAAATTGGGGAAAACTTTTTTTGATGAATTGAATAAAATGATTAATAAATTTATATGGCAAGGTAAAAAAACACGAATAAATATTAAAGCGTTACAGGATAGTAGAAGTAGACGTGGCCTTGGACTCCCAAAATGGAAAATTTACTATCAAGCAGCGGGATTGCTTTGGATTAGTGACTGGATAAACCTAGAAAACAAAAGAGTCTTAACAATTGAAGGTTATGATTTACAGGATGGATGGCATGCTTTCCTATGGGAAAAAGATAAGAAAACCCATACATATTTCCTCTGATAAGGGATGCATTAATTTGGATATGGGAAAAAATTAAAAAAAATATTATACAAAAATTCCAATTTGGATCTCACCAATGGAGGCGATGATCCATCCAAACACATTAGATAAAACAAAGATGATAAGGTACAAAGAATTATTAGACAATCAAGGGAAGCTAAGATCAAGAGATGAATTAAAAGAACAGGGAATAACTATTGATTGGTGGCCATATACACAGATAAAATCAAAATATAATAAGGATATGGAGGAGTATGGGATATGTCGGACATTACAACAATTGGATAAAATATTGACAAATAAGGGAGAAAAATTCTTAAGAAAAACTTATAAACTCCTATTAGAAATTGATTTGGAAGAAGAAATAGTAAAGGGCCCGATGATAGCATGGGCACAAAACATAGGTAGAAATATAGGATTAGAGGAATGGGAAAGAACATGGAACATAAATTACAAATTAACATTGTCAATTGCATACAAGGAAAACCAATACAAAATGTTCTACAGTTGGCATTTAGCACCGGCGAGATCGGCTAAAATATACAAAAATATGAATCCGGATTGTTGGAAATGTAAAAACAAAGAAGGAACATTTTATCATATATGGTGGCAATGCCCCAAAGCAAAGACCTATTGGAAGCAGATAAGAAGATGGTTACAGGAAATAACAAAACAGCAAATTGAATTCAAACCTGAAATATTTTTATTAGGCATAATTAACCCAAAAATAGAGAAACGACTCCAATACATCATTATACATAACCGCAGCACGCATTGCATATGCACAGTGTTGGAAAAGGGAGAACATACCAACAAATGCAATGATTGTATGTAAGATATTAGACTGTGCTGAGATGAACAAACTTTCCTTAGAAATAAAAGACAAAGAAGCTACAGAATTTTACGAGGTATGGGACATGTATTATAACTGGCTTGAATTGCGGACTAGAAATGTATGAGGAGTAATGTACATAAATGTAAATAAACTTAAGAGATATAGGACATAGTATTGTTAAGGGAAAAGAAAAAATGTATTGTGTATTATGTTTGTTTGTAAAAAAAAAGGAAAAATAAAAATTTAAAAAATAAAATAAAATAAATTCAGAGCCTGAAAAGAAAGTTGAATTAATTCTTGATCTGGTTGGATTTTCAGAACCAGAGCTGAATGGCCGTAACATGTTTAGTAGTTTGAGGAATCTTATATGTTTCATTCTAAATGCCTAAGTCATCTTAGACCTCTAAATGGGATTTAAATTAAGATTCTGCAAGTGCATTGAGTAAATTCCAGGGAGCAATCACAGAGACAGAGTTCTGAACTTTTTGCCTTAGATCAGTGGTTCTCAACCTGTGGGTCGGGACCCCATTTGGGGTCGAACCACCATTTCACGGGGGTCGCCAAACAACGCAGTCCGCCATTTCTCCCCCCCCCCTTTTCCTTAGCTGTGCTACTCCCTTTTATTCTGTTGGCTTTTGAAAGCCAATAAAATAGACTCTCTTGAATAGAGTCTAATTCTATTGGCTTTCAAAAGCCAATAGGAATGGTCCAGGCTGTCTCTGCCCTGCCGAGCCCGCCAAAAGTCCCATTCTGCAAACGGTGCTGCACCATTTGAGTAGTCCTCGACTTACGACCGCTTGAGTAGTCCTCGACTTACAACCGGTTGGGGGTCGCGGCATTAAAAAGGTTGAGAACCACTGCTTTGGATGGAATTGAGCCACTTTTTGGTAAATGCTATTAGTCTTGTATCAACTGCTTCCTTATGTCTTTAAAGTCATGAAAAAGAAGACTTTTATTGCCTAGGTTTTTACTGAATCTATTTCATTTGTCTCTGGACCTGGACACTATGTTACATCGTGCTCCTTTTTAAAGGAAAGTTGCATGAAAAGGGCAAATTACAAATATATAAGGCCAATAAACATAAAGTAATATTCAAGAGTATTCGTGGACTATCCTGTTCCATGCACTGAAGTTGTCAATGTGAGCTGAGATTCTAAGTTTTAATAAAGGCAAAAATAAAGGTTTCTCTTGTCCGGTTGTGTCCAGCTGCAGAGGTGTGTGCTCATTTCCGTTTCTTGGCCGAGAAAGTGTTGTCCGAATACATTTTCATGGTCATTTGGCTGCATGGCTATACCCCTTCCCACCAAAGTGATAGCTGGCTGATCTACTCGCATCTCCATGCTTTCAAACTGCTAGGTAGGCAGGAACTGGGGAAGGAACGGGAGCTCTCCCTCTTGCGCAGCCCTTGGGTCTTGAACCCCGGCTGCCAGCTTTCCAGCTGACAAGCTTAATATCTTTAACCGCTGAGCTTGTCAGCTGGAAATGCAAGCCATTACTAACATTATGCTCATAGTCTGGGCTGTTTTGCTGAGCTTTGGTGTATGTGTGTCTCTTTATGTACATTGTGTGTTTGTTAAATCACAGGTTTGTTAAATTGTGAAGTCTGAATATTAGACATTTTGTCCTTCTTGCTATTCCCGATTTACAGTGATCCAATGAAAAGTTTTGAAGGGGGCTCTTATGTTCCAAACTTGAAAACAAAAACACCGTTTATGTTCCCTGTTGGGCATATCCCTGGGAAAAACTCCTTAAGAAAGAGATCACACTGAAGCAAAAGGATTCTCCTTCTCTTTCTTCCCCTTGCTTTTTCCAATAAGCATGTTAAACAAAGCCTTTTTTTGACTCTCTTTTGACCACATCATTCCTCTTATGATTTCTGACATGGGAAATCCTGCAAGAAAAGCTGGCTTAAACATAAAAAGTAATGGTAAATCTAAAATATTATTCCATAATATTTTGAGGGAGCAGATATATGAAATTGCTGCAGTCTGGAAAACACAGAAAACACATTGAAGTTTGTTTTCTTTATCTGTAATTATTTAGGAATGGTAAATCTAAGAACAATAAAGACTAAGATTAAATAATAGATTTTGAATACTTCAGAACAGTAGGTATTTAGGATCCTGATTAATTTATTTTACAAAATAAGAAACAAAATGGCATGATTTTTAAGCATTTGTGCCTTTCATCAATTATAATTAAGCAAAATTATACTGAATAGTTGTTTCACTATTGAAAACCTGGTTCAGCATATTTGTATTATTATGCCAAGACAGTAAATAGCAAACCATAACCAAGCAAGTGATTAATATTTAATGTCTTTTAAAAATGTACATACAGGGTTTAGTTTAAACCATGAAGAAATTAAAGCTCACAAATTATATGAAAAATGGAAAAAGTTTCTTTCTTTCACTGTTATTTTGAATTAGAAGTCTCAGGACATATTTTGTATTGTTGATCTGGCCGGACCTATTGTTCTCTATCCAACTGGGTTGAGAATAGTATATGTGGGCAGATACTAAACTGAATAAACAAAACTTGGAAATGGAATACATATTTCTTCCACTATTTTATGAATGTAATAGTTACACACCATCTGCCTTCCAGTCATACTGCATTCACATTTGATGTGGGAGGGATTTGCTCTAATGACCAGACCTGTACTTAGTTCTATTGTCTTTAAGTAACACTTCATACACCAACAGGTATGTTTCAGGTATTAGTTCCATATTAACAAGTATTTGTAACTTTAGATTTCCATGAGACCTATGACACATTTATCAGTTTGTTTATGATTTGTCAATAATCTAAAGAAACAAAAATCATTAATAAACTTAAAATTCAAGACTAACAAAAACAAAGTTAAATGCCATTTAAATGACATCACAGCTCCATAGCATATACTCCAAAAAATAGTTCTCTTTAATTTTTCCTTCATAAAATTAGCTCTTGTGTCTATGTACAAATGAATTTAACTGTAAACCAGTCAGATCTTCAGAAATTCCAAATCCTGGTTTATATTATTTCTCTCTTCAATATTGGCAAAGGTGAACTTTTCCGAGAATAATGGCATTTTCACAGTTTTACATTGCAAGCTTTAACCTTCAGGACTGCAGGCTGTCAGCCGTAATAGAGCGATGGCTCATCATCACTTATATCTGAATCATCTTCGTCCATTTCACCTTCAATGACTGATTTTTTTCCTTTGCAGCATGACACAATTAATCCAATCAAGAAAACCTGTGAATTTACATCAACACACTGTATTACTGGAGGTCAGATGAAGGATGCAACAGATTTAGGTGAGGCAATATTGCCATGATGCACAAAACTGTAGGTATAGTTATCCTAGAACAGTGATGGCAAACCTTTTAGAGACCGAGTGCCCAAAGTGCAACCCAAAACCCACTTATGTATCATTGGGTGCCGGGTGGGTGTGGCCCATTGGGTGGGCATGGCTGCGGTGGTAAAGGCAGACTGGGTGGGACTAAAAAATTCAATCAATCAATTCCAACTTTGCGAGATCTTTTTTTTCCCGCGAGAAGTTGAAATTAATTGATTGATTGAACCTTTTTTTTTTTTGTAGATGGCAGTGGAGGCCTAAAGCGAAAAGATTTTATAAAACCCAGGTGAAGGCCTAGGACTGGGGCAACATGCCCGCAGAGAGGACTCTGCGTGCCATCTGTGGCACGCGTGCCATAGGTTCACCACCACGGTCCTAGAACATTAGATTGTATTTATAATCGTCTTCAAATAAGATTACTTACTCCAATAAAAGCCCAATTGCCAAAGTAATATGCAGCACTGAAGAACCAAAATTTGTGCAGAAACAGATATGTCCGAGTAACAGTGCATTGATCTGGAGGGGGATAAAAAAAGAAGCAGCTAAGAATTGCTCTTAAATGTTAGGAAACGGATTTTAAAAGGTCATGATTCTTCCAAGTATACATGGATTCTCTTTACAACTGAAATTACTGCCAATATATATATACCCACACACACTTACCAAATATCATTCATTTTTCAATCTGAACGGATGAGAAAGGATTCATAAACACAATTTGTCAGTTTCAGAAATCAAATTTACTATTCAATCTTTGAAATCTAATAAGGCACCTAGAAAAGATTTTTTTTTACTGCCTAATCTTTTCAAGACATACATTGATTGGTGGGTCCCATTATTAGCAGAGCTATTGTCCCATATAAATTGCATCCCAGTCAGATGAGAAGTCGCCATCATAACCCTCATATATAAAAAGGGAGGCAAGGGCGGTCCAAAAAATTATAGACTGAGAAGCTTTACTGAAATTCAGTCTAAAATGTATACAAAACATCCTTTGAGTAAAATAGAAGACAGAGAAATAGGAAAAAAAGTGGAGGAGCAAGCTGGATTCAGACTAGAGCACATCACAATAGATAATTGTTTTATTTGACATAACAGAACAACTAACTAATGGCAAGAAAACTTTTAACAACCTTATAGATATCAGTGTGGCTTTTGATTCTATAAACAAAAATATTCCGGGGAAGAAACTGCCTAACTTAAATATGGGAACCCAGACTCTTTACTCAAACACCCATTTGAAAGTCTGCATGGGTGTAAATGGTCCTCTAAGAATACACTTACCCATAATAGTGTCAGGCAGGGATTGTATTTTAGCCTGAATGTTTTTTAACATCTATGTCCATGATATTCCAGGATTCTGTATGCTTCACACACTCTCATATGCCAAAGATCCATGACAAATTTATTAATACCGTTTTATATTCTGACAATTTGGCACTTTCAATAGGGTTAATTAGTATACCGCTGCTTCGCAAGACAGTTTGTCAAAATCTACATTACACTTTTTTTTTTCAAAACAGCATGTCTTGCAATTTAAATATCTGGAATCAGTATATGCTATAGAAGCCTACTCTTTATTCTCAGAAGAATGGGTATGTGAGTGCATGTTAAGGAAAAAAATGGACATTGTTGGCAAACTGCAGTAAGGCTTAGCCACATCCTACAAGCAAGGCCTTGTTCTTCTGCCATTTCATTTAGGAGGATAGTATCAGTAGAATCAACTTACTTCACTGACCCTACTTTCTTAGTCCTCCAGATGAATTTAGAATGTAGTTTATAAATGCTAAGTGAGAAATAAGTACATAAATACACATTTGTTCTCCAACGCACAGATCTACAGTACAAGTTTAATAGTTAAGATTGCCATTTTATCATTTAAATATCAGAACTTCTTATACATGGCATGAACTGCTCTTTTCCAATATTGGAACTTGTTGAAACCCCAGAGCCAGATCTTTTCTCTTCCGGGAACTGAACTTACAGACTACTGAACTTTAAATTACCATATGCAGTGCATTAGCTTTAGGAGCTATCCAGGTCCTGGTGCTTACCAGTGTGGCAGGAAGGGATATGCAGAATCTATCACAATGGCACATATACGAGAGAACACCTATCTGACCTTGACAAATATAAATCACCGTGACCCGACAGATTACATCCCAGAGTTCTGAAGGAGAGCTGGCAGATGTTATCTCAGAACCTCTGCACCATATCTTTCCAAAAGACATACCACCTCAAATCACTCATTTGCTTTCACTTCTGTAAGCCAGCCCTGATCTCCAGAATTAGCACTAGATTCAGCCACCTGCATCATCTACAATCTATTTTCATAAAATCACAGAGTTGGAACGTATCTTAAGAGATCAACTAGTCTAAACCCCTGATTATGTTAACAATCTTTTCCTATTATACCTTAATACTACCTTCACTGAATTAATTTCCACTCAAAACAAATGAGTTGCTGCAGCCTCGGCTTTTTCCATAGCATCTTGCTGGTCAGTCCAGGCACAGCCAGTCCTCATTTAGCAACTGCTTTGTTTAGCGAGTGTGTGCAGTTACGACACAGTAACAAACTTCACAGGTCTATACAGGTAGGTCTCAACTTACAGTCAAAACTGGGACCAGAATTAAGTAAATTCAACTTCCCCCATTCCCAATGCTTATCAGAAGCTGGCTGGGAAGGTTGTAAATGGTGGTCACATGACCACAGGAAATGGCAAATGTTGTAAATACATGGTAGTTGTCAAGTGCCTCAGTTTTGATTATGTGATGGTGGGGATGCTGTGATTGTTATAAATACAAGGACTAGTTGTAGGTCACTTTTTCCAGTGCTGTTGTAACTTCAAATGGTCACTAAATGGTCACAACCACTAAAGAATAGTTGTAAGATAATAACTACTTGTAAAGCAAAGGAAAGCTAAATTATAAGCACAATCATAGTTTCATTTTAGCAATTGCTTCACTTAACAATTGAGTTGCTGGTTACAAATAAGGATTATTTTATTTAGTACCCTTTTGTTTCAAGCAAATTCTACCTGATTTTTTAATGCTTTAAAATACATCCTCTATCTGGGAAAAAGAAAAAATGTTTGCCTTAGTATCAACAAAGCAAATCAACAGCAAGTTGCTTTGAGTTGATTGATGTTGTTATGAGTGCACACAACAATACTAAGAAAGCACAGCCCTTCTGAACCTTCAATATGCTCTGTTAAATGAGAACCATAACCCAGAAATCCAAATTAGAATGACTGAACTAAGATCACTAACAGAGTGTTGAGAATTGGAATATGCATTCTCTATGATTTCTATGGATTACACAGAAATTTTTAATTACGTTTTCAAGTACCATTCAGGAAAGAAAAATAAACTACTTTAAAAACCCAACAGAAGACAAAAGAGAAACTTCCTTTAATTTAGCCTGTGATCATTCCCTCTTGTGCATCTTATGGCAATTCACAGAATCAAAGAAGGCAAGAGTGGGATGTTCCTCTGGGGTCGTCAAGTCCAACACCTTGTCCAGTGCAAGAATCTCCATCATGGCATCTCCACCAGATGGTTTTCAAATTCTGTTTAAACACTTCCAGCGAAGGACAGACCACCACTCCTAAAGCAGTTTGTTCCTTTGTTGAAAAGTTACTTTAAGAATATTTCCTGATTTTCGACATCTCCTGCCTTGTAATTTAAAGCCATTGTTTCTTACCCTGTCTTTTGCAACAATTCTGAACACTTCTGCACACAACAGCACTTCAGATATTTGAAGACAAGCTATTATGTGTCCCCACAGGCTAAACATAGTCAACAACACTTCACAAATGTTTACTCTCAGGTCCTTAATCTCTGCTGCTCTCTTCTGGACCCATTCTTCTATGGCTCTTCTATACTTTGATAATGGCTTCTCTCCAGCCTGTTTTACTTTTTTGTGTGTGTCTGACAGACCCTGAAAGCCACCTCCATAAAACAAACATCTACAGTGTCCACTCCCACGACCAAGTACTTTGCAAATTAAGTTGCTGACAACATTAAACACTTACGTTGACCAGAAACCTACATGTTTCAGAAAGAAATCTGTCATAGTACAATACCACTTCAGTTCTTTTTCTTTTCCTACCAATTAGCCAAGAAGAAATTCAGCTTGATTATCTTTCACCTTCACTAAAACAACGAAGAGCCAAAAGAGGAGCAAGAAACTGTTGTCATGGGGATATAGCGCACCCACACTACTGATGCAATGGGAGTGTCCTGTAAAGCTTGACAAAAATAATCTAAGGTCTTCTGTTCCTTATTCATACCAAGATAGGCGTATTTAAAGTAACATTTAGCTTTAACACCTGCTACAGATAATATACAACATAGACAGGGCAAAAAATGTCTATTCTATTCTCTCAAGAGAATATCTCAGATGAGTAAGTAAAGTGCAGATGTTTTTCCAGAGAAGATGGATTTAGGGAAAGCAAAAACCTATCCTGAATTTGACTAGCAAATTCAGCAAGATCCAAAGAAAAAACTGGAGAGCCATTAATAGTTTATCAAGCAAGGTTTGTCTAAAAATAATCTCAATGAATCTAAAGTTAAAGAACAAATTCAAGAGGCTAATTATTTATGTGCTATTTTATTTTAAATCATAGGATAAAATTACAAAGAATCACAAATGAATGCTGCTAAGTACCTTGTTTTTAGAAACATCTTAAAATCAGTTTTCAGTACTAAAGGTGCCATACCAAACATCTTTCAAGAATCATTTGTAAAAAAGGTTGAATCTCCTCCAAGTTAGTTTCTAGCTAGTTTGGATTATGTTTAAGCCCAAACAAGGATGACTAGATGCTGATATTTGTAAGACTATTCTTAAAGACAGGAAGTTCTTACATTGATCCAAAGCCATGAAAATATTGCATCAAAATATGTTTTTGATTCCCTTACTTCAGTGATGAGGCAAGCTGGAAATGTGCTGCAGAAATACCATGTACCATGTTAATCTTGAAACACACAATTAATAGCTAAAGGTGATTTTTTTCCTTTAATAACCTCAGACCAACTAACATGGAATATATGAAGATATCAATGTATTTTTATATTTCACAACGTATTATCTGAATTTCTACGTACCAAATAACTTTAAGTTAATAATAATAATAATAATAATAATAATAATGATGATGATGATGATGATGATGATGATGATGTTGGAAGGGACCTTGGAGGTCATCGAGCCCAACACCCTGCTCAGGCAGGAAACACTACACCATTTCAGACAAATGGCTGTCCAGTCTCTTCTTAAAAACTTCCAGTGTTGGAGCATTCAACGCTTCTGGAGGCAGGTTGTTCCATTGGTTAACTGTTCTAACCAATATAGTTAATACTGGTTAGAACTAATTAATATAGTATAGGTAGTCCTCAGTTACCAATGGTAATTTGAACGGGGAATGCCATTACTAAGCAGCCAGGTTGTAAGGGGCAACATCATGTGATTGCACTAAGCTACAACAGCCATTCCGGCAGCCCCAGTAGCTGCTATA